CCCCCCCCCCCCCCCCCCCCCCATGCTTGTGTTTCCAGGACTTGATGACGGTGGTTGTCAACGGGATAATAATGACCCTGCTGTACCTGCTTCTTGGGGCATTGTGGCTGATGATCTCCGACTCTTGGAGCTTCACCGACACTGTGTATTTCATGGTGCGGAAGTTTTTCCATGCCTCGCTGGTGGCGCGGGTGTGGTTGCGCTTTGGCTGATTGGGATAACTGAAAACCGAACCGAAGAAACAGATGCGGCACGAATGCAGAAGCCGCGAATGCTCTGTGTGGCGCTCGACGCAGGGGTTGGGGGTAGGTAGTTGCTATGCTTGCTATGCGTTCCTCGTTTTTCTATCTTCAACCTCTGCGCTGCATCTAAGGAAGAGACGGTGTTCCTCTGTAATTAGAAATTGTTTGTGCAGCAGGGGCCGAAACTCCCAAAAGTGTCCCATAGAGGTCTGGTCACTCCCGGAAAATGAAAATACTTTCCACCGAGGATCCAGATTCTCATACGGAAGCGAGGCCGGCAAGCTCTCATGAAGTTACGAGCCCGTTTCACAGGCTCGGAGATTGACTTGACAACTGTGCACTGCACGGAGCAGTAGGACTGTATCGAGACTGTCCGCAAACAGCTTTCCCCGCACCTCCGCGAAGTCGGGTGTACGTCCGCCGTTGGGTGTTACCACCATGCGGGTGGCGTCCAGTCATCGGCTTTTGCTGTAAATTTTGTGTCTACTTTTTCCCTTCGCCTTGTCCCCTGCAGTTTGTAGACCATAGAAAAATGAAACGCGTTTTAGTTTTGGCGTTTTTCCTGATGCATCGACATGTTCCACCCGGATCACCCAACCCTCAATGGTTTATCTTCGTGTGACTGATCTGCGAGTAGTCGACGTTCTGGTGTCAATTCCCTTCCCTGTCCCTGCCCACGAGCAGTTTTAGCAACATTCCCCCCTCTTGTCCGGTATTTGTGGGTGTTTTCATTCCGTCATTCCTGGGCGCCTGTCGATATATTGTTATGTGTAAGTCTGGGTCAAACAGGAAGACCGTAGACGCAAAGTTGATCTGTTTAGCTGCGGTGAGAACAGCACAGACAACCGAGAGCCAGAAGACTTTGCAAGGTTCGCTGCTCTTGTTGTTTCACCGAGTTCTGCGGCAATCATAAAAAAGAAGTAATACTCATGCAGGACATGCCTCCAAAAGAAACGAAACTCCGATGCTTGGTGTGGAACAGGATGCGTTGTCACCGTGACTATTGACTATGCAGCCTTCCGATTTGTTGAATCATACGCGTACGGCAAGCAATACTTCGGCGACCCCCCCCCCCCCCCCCCCCCCCCCCCCCCCCCCCCCCCCCCCCCCCCCCCCCCCCCCCCCCCCCCCCCCCCCCCCCC